CAGCACTGATAAAACTATGAAGAAACATACTCAATTAACCGTTAAATATCCGAAATAAAAATTCAGTTATTCTAGTCGTAACAATAGAAAAGTGTACATACTTGTTAACTGATTTTTCTTTATCAACAGTTTAATAATCCATCATGTTTGAACTTTTATGTTAAACAATACGGATAATAATGGATATCTAAATAACTTGGTCTTTGATCCAGCAGCATATTGTTTTCTAGATTATAAAATAAAATAAAAGTTAAAATCAATATCAATACTCACTCAAATGCTAGATGTCGAATAAAATGTCTTGCTTGTTTTTTTTTTGTCACGTTTTTTATCTTTACATCATGTCACTGTATGACATACTTAAAAAGAAGAATACTTGGGATTATTTGAGGTGATTTACATTATTGTTGATATCTTCGTAGCATAAATTCTTCTGTCATACCTAGATGCACATGTCTTTATATATAGAAGCAATAGAGAGATAAGAAAAGTAATCAAGTATTAGTCATGAGAGAGAGAGTAGAAAAGTTATGCATGTAAGCAACAGTCGAATATGAGCAGAATTATTATAAAGTTAGTAAAGAGAAAGCAATGAGAATGAAGATGCTACATGTTCATTAAACATTATATTACAGTTCATGCCATGTCATTATTGTTCAATGAAACCTTACTAACATAATTGTCAACTGTATGAGAAACTGTGTGTTAAAATCAGTAACATACAGTGAATATTTTTGTAGCTTCTTCCTTGATATAATCTGTTCGACCAATAAAAGAAAATTTTTATGTGCATGTTTGACCAATAGAACTCCTTGATATGTAAGAAAAAACACATACAGAATCATTTTCATGATTGTGAAAATAAGAAGAGAACATGTAATGAACACATGAGAATTTCGACATCTATCAAAATTCTTATTGAAAATTAATAAAAAAAAAGTTATTCTTAATTAGACTACCTAACCTAATGATGTTTAGTCTAAAAATTGCTCAATGAAATGATCATCATACTACAAATTGAGAGTAAAATATGAAGATAGCAGCGCTTACTGTGTTATATTTCCGATCATTAGACAAACATAGATATAATTTATTAAAAAGAAATGTATACTTCTTTTGATGATGAAAACTAATTTAAAAATAAAGAAGCACACACAATCTCTAAATTTATATAGTACCGAGAAGGAGTAGATAAGAAAAATACTATGTTCGAAAAAAATATCAGAAAAATAAATATTCAAATGATAGATTAGCACTGAGGTAGGCGGGTTAGAAGGATAGAAACGTGATGGAATCCTTTTCTTATTGAATATCATCACATAGCAGATTGTATTTCGCACTGATATTTGGCATTCAATTGATAAAAAAAGTTAAGTAGCAGCCGGAAATACAGTAGAGATGGATGGTAGACACTTCATATGTCTATGACATTTTCTGTCAACTTTAAACGTTTGGTGGATCATTGGATAATCATATTTTTAGTTCATTTTGAATAAGCTTTGAGAATCAGAAAGAATCAGTAAAGGTGCAATACACTTTTCCAAATGATGTAATCACAATTTTGAATATCACTAGATCTTTGTTGATAAGCATTATTTTTCGATTAGATGTCTATGAGTAGATCAGACTGTGAGCAGTATTGTATCCGCAATTCACTTCTGTACTTTCTGTTTGTCCGTCACTTGAGAATAAACGACATGAAGTTATCAGTACAATAATAGAATCTTCACTCATACAGAAAATACTTTGCTATCTTATTTATATAAAGAACGACTGATGAATTTTAAAGATATAACTTGATGTCGAGTTCTTTGTAAATTGAAGAAAAGTAGAACAACTATGTGGTGTCCTTGAATGTAGAGAACAGTTCTATTCACTTGTTGTAGTTTTAGATTTTCTCTTTCTTTATAGTGATATTGTGGATAATTTCACCAGAGACAATGATGACAAAAACTCAAAGATATTCAAAGAGCCTTTTTATTGTTATGCGAACCAATGCATGATTTATTTTTTCATTGAACTAATTTTCATTCACTTAAAATCGAGTTCCTAAATAAAATCAATTTCATATTCTTTTTTAATAAACTCGCATGGAACGAGAGATTATCGAAACTTATTCATTATCATTACTATGCATGACAAATATGAATAAATCATGTAAACAGAATTGATGCGATAACAATAGCCTTAGAAAAAACAAACTTCCGTCAAACTTTATTAAGAAATCTTACAGCAAATGAAGTCAAACAAGTACGTTGTAAAAGACAAATATGAAGAGAAGTATCTATATCTGTTAAGTCATGAAAAGTAACTGAATAACTGAACGAAATTGTTTGCAAAAAGTATAAGATTCGGAGAAAAGAAAAAAGGCAAGAGAATCAACATTATACGTGATGCGATTATGACACATAAAGCATGATAGCATAATTGAAAGATAAGCAGCTAGTGGATGATTAATCATTGTTATACTTGAAACGTTGACATTGTACACTATCATCATGGTCGGTATGTAAACTGAGAATAAAAAGTGATATGTGCGAAATATTTTTATGATTATGCTACATGTTTCATACAAAAAAGGCTTTCATAGAAAAGGAATAGAAGTTTTGAGTGTCATTCTTTTGAAAGATAAACGATATGAAAACTAATTGTCGGAACAAGTGCAAAAATGTATTTATTTTTTGACGATACAAAAGATTGATTGTGTTCGTAGGTTTTTATATGTAAATTTTGGTAATGAAATAAATCTATATACAAACGAATACTACAGTTATTTAGAAGATGACAATATCATTTGTATTCCTGAGAGCAATTTCGTCAACGGTCAAAAGAAAATTAGTCTATTTTATTTTGATATATTCCATTTGGTTGTCTGTCAGGTGATTTATTGTTAGATTGATCGTATACTGTGTTTTAAAAAAACATCATTATGTGTATTCGTATACAGAATAAAACTAAGTAATGGTACAAAATCTTGAAAACATTATTTCCATATTATGTATTGAGAATTAGCCAATTTTATAATCTTCATATTCTTGTACTACATTTTACTTTTGAGCTTATTAAGTTCAGTTTTCTTTCTACGGAATAGTTTTTGAAGTTGTATTGAAATATATCGATAGATATCATAGCCGTTGATTCTGCGCACTCTTTCTTTTTTCGGTATTTATTACATATTCTTGTGTCTCTTTCTCATTCGCTTCGCTTCTCTGCTTTTTTTATATAGACTCGGTATGTTGAAGTATGCGAAAGTGACGTGCTCGTTTATGAGACGAGGGAGGCATTCCATGTTTCTTTTTTTGCTAGAGAATAATTAGAATGCTGAATTGAAACAATAATAGTGTTATTAATAATTGAGTTCTCAGTCAGAAAGAAAGACAACACTTGATGTAATCAACGTTCAGTATATTGTAAACTATAAATAAATTGTTACTTTATAGAAAATTGAGATAGAAATAGCTAGAATGATTTTAAAGTTTTTATAGATTACTAAGCACATTTGAAATTTAGAAAAAATTGGCTGTCTTCTACAATATGAAAATTCGATATTTTATTTTCTCGAGAATTAATTTTTCGAAAAATATAAAATCAATATCAATTCTTCAAAAAAAATAGAAATCAACTTTGTTCAATATTGGCTTTTCTTCAACGGGTGCAGCAAGCGTATGAACTGCGTTTTCGCTCACGTGATGATAGCGCAAGCAAGAAATACATTCATTTTTTTAAATTTTTGATGAGAGATTGTTGATATTATTTTTTTTTTAATAAAAGTATACACTCTCCTTCATATATAGTTCTTTCATTAGAAACTGAAATGGTCATTTTTAGGACTTTTCATCTAGAAAAGGTATTAATTTTGTAGAATTACATTTTCGCTAGATATTTTTTTGCATGTTTTAATTATGTGCATAAAAGAAAATCTCTAATAGTTATATTGTAACTTTTGTTTTCAATTACAGCTATTTTTCAGTATATGTTTACGATTAGATAATTTCAAAATTCAATATCTGAAATAGTGTTTAACTTTTTCTTTAGCATATTTATTAATTTAACTCATCCACAGAGTTAATGTTATAAATTAATAAGTTAGATATAATAAATGACTTAATGTTGAAAATAAAATTTTTTATCGAAGCTATTATATTTTCTAGAAAATACTCAGATTTTGAAATCAAATTTCATATTTTAGAAAAGTTCAATCTTAATACAATCATAAATTATTTAATTCGAAGATCGAAAATAATGGGCGCAACAATGGCAGTTTGCTAGCGGAAAAAAAAACAGCCGGTAAAACGAAATGACGCGTTACAGCGAAATTTTTCCTCATTTCATTCATACTTTACATCGTAATTATACTTTCATCAGTTGCTTATAAAGATATTGTGATCTTTCTGTACAATAATTTTTGAAGTAAACTATTACTTTCAAACTCACAATAAGTTTTTGAGAAACCTTGTTAAAATCTATCAACTATTGGTCGAATTCAATCATGCACATTTTCGAAATCAAACTTAATTGTATTCTGAATATTTTCGACAAAGTTGAAAGAAAATTAAGTACATTGCTAACATTGACATAATGACCGAAATCGAATCATGCGAATGACTTACTGTCTTAATCCATTAATCAAAGAAACCATAAAATATGATATAGTGTCGTATATTGAACCCAAAAGTAGTGAACGATTTTAGTAAAATATAATTTTCCTCTATTTTAACTGAATAAAATAAATACATCATTACACAAACTCTAATCTTCATCGGACATCTTGAAATATAAATTATATCTAGACCTGTTGATTAGCATTATGTTGGCATGTGTTTTTTATATCTTTCTTTCAAGCACATGGGTTTGCTCTTTTTTTTATTTGTCTATTTGAATTCTTCAAGCAACCACGTGTATATAGATACATACAAGTGTAGACATAGTTTAACATTGTTACATTATCATTTTAAACTGAATATTTGAAAATAAGGTATATTTAATCAATGGAATAAAATATGCGTGAAATTGTGAATATCTCTATTGGACAATGTGGTAATCAAATTGCAGGAAAAGTAAACAAAAACCAAGAATAGATATTTTGATTAGATATTTTCGTTGTATTCTAGTTTTGGGAAGTTGTTGCTGATGAGCATGGCCTTTCTCCTCTTGGTGTCTATGGTGGTAATTCCGATTTGCAACTTGAACGAATCAATGTCTACTTTAACGAAGCAACAGGTAACAAAAATTATATATTGTTCATTTTATATGATGAAAAACAATGTGTTTTTAGGTGGTAAATACGTTCCACGAGCAATTTTATGTGATCTTGAAATAGGTACAATTGATAGTATGCGCGCTTCACCCTATGGTCAAATGTTTCGACCAGATAATTTTATATTTGGTACATCTGGTGCAGGCAATAATTGGGCAAAAGGTCTATAAGATGTAACAAGAATTGAATCTGATAATAAGTATTCATTTTTCTTAGGCTATTATGGTGAAGGAGCTGAAATAATTGATTATGTGTTAGATACTGTTCGTCGGGAAGTTGAAAATACCGATTGTCTACAAGGTAAAAATGATAGTACAGTACTTCACTTCTATCTAGAATATGTTCTTTTTTTTTTTCGTTTTTCTTAATTAGGCTTTCAAATAATGCAAAGTATTGGTGGTGGATCAGGTTCTGGACTTGGTTCACTCGTATTAAATCGTTTACGTGAGGAGTATCCTGATCGTATGTTTTTGTTTAATTCTCATACAAACAGTTGAAGAAAAATTTTTTTTTTTTTCATCATTTAAGGAATGATGGTTGGCTATAGTGTTTTTCCATCACCTCAAGTATCTGAATCTATTGTTGAACCATACAATGCTATGCTTGCTGTTCAATATCATATTGATTCAACTGATATGCTTATATGTTTTGATAATGAAGCTCTTTATGATATTTGTACTCGATCACTTAAAATTTCTTTTCCTACAATGACTGATCGTATGTAAATTAAGGATAATATATAGTTATATTCTCAAGTTTATTTATGTTCTAGTTAATCATCTTATTGCTATAACTATGTCAGGTCTTACAACGTGTCTTCGTTTTCCTGGTAAATCATCTATAATTAATATTGAATAATTTCTATTAAATATTTTAGGTCAATTAAATGCTGATTTAAGAAAATTAGCTGTTAATATGGTTCCATTTCCACGTTTACATTTTTTTATGCCATCTTTTGCTCCATTAACATCACGAAATGGTCAAACATATCGAGCAATGTCTGTACTTGAATTGGTTCATCAAGTATTTAATCCTCGAAATCTAATGTGTGCTATCGATCCAAGACAAGGACGATATCTTACCGTTGGTGAGAATATTATTTACTTTTTTTATTTAAATAAAATTAGTTTAATTATTAAGCACTTGTCTTTCGTGGTCGTTTGTCAATGCGTGAAATTGATGAACAAATGTTACATGTACAAAATCGTAATGCACAATATTTTATTGAATGGATTCCAAATAATGTTAAAACAGCTGTCTGTGATATTCCACCAAAAGGATGTCGAATGTCTTGTACTTTTCTTGGTAAATTTCTTAACTTAATAAAAACAAATGAAAAAAAAAATTTTTTTTTTTCGAATAGCAAATAATACGGCCATTGAACAATTATTTAAAAAAATTTGTCAACAATTTTGTGCGATGTATAAACGAAAAGCATTTATACATTGGTATACAGCTGAAGGGTAAATCTATTTAAAAGAAAATTAAATCAATTTCTTTTTATATTATGTATAGAATGGATGAAATTGAATTTACTGATGGTAAATAAATTTAATTTTCTCTGTAGACTTTTAAATTTATATTTGAATTTTTTTTTTTTTCATTTAGCTGAAGCTAGTTTAAATGATATTATAAGTGAATATCAACAAATTAGTAATAATGAACCTGTTGATCAAATGATTGATTCTTTGTCGAAATAAATTCTTAAATAAAATTATGCATTTGACATGAATATCTAAAAGAACTAGAAACGGAAAACGTGAAATACTTCAATTCATAGAGATTATCGAAAATTTATCAATAAGATTATTTGTCAATATCGATTTGGATCTTTTTGTTGAAATAATTTTTCTAATGTCTAATAGAATTTAGAAGTGCATTTATTTTTTTTTTTTTTTTACTGTTACTATTTCTTGCGTAGAATGACATCTAACGAGTATTCACTGTTGGTTATGTTGTATATCCATTAGCAAAGTCCTTAACAGCTGAATGACTGACAACCAAAAATGAATTGACAAACAACTGAAGAACTGTTGTTTCCCTTATCAAAAAGTTCGAGAACGAACTAAATCATATATCATATCATTTAGTTGAATAAATGAATCCAGTGCGTTGTCGTCAACTAAAAATTGCTCTTTTTTCATCGTCATTTGCTCTGATAGTTTATCTTGTTCGTCGCTATCGTCGATATCTTATATTGAAAAAACGACAATCTCTCGCAACTCCACGAGAAGAACCTTCCACTAATGCCATTCCATCATCATCAATCAGAAAAACAATCAATAAACAATTTTTGCATCAACTTCGAGTACTTGTTGGAATTCTTATACCACGTTTACGGAGTGATTCATTCTTTTTATTAATTGCACATTTAACAACACTTATAACACGAACATTTCTTTCAATTTATATAGCACATCTTGATGGTGCTATTGTAAAATCATTAGTACAAAGAAATCCACGTGATTTTCTTCGTACAATTAGTATTTTTCTAGTTTTTGCTGTTCCAGCTAGTTTTATAAATAGTGCTATTCGTTTTGCAGAATCTAAACTTGCATTAGCATTTCGTACAAAATTAACTCGCTATGCATATGAAGCTTATTTTCGTGTAAGTTTTATATCTTCTATCATTTTTTTTTTCTATCAGTAATTTAATCAACTCTAGAATCAAACCTATTTTCGAGTCTCAAATATGGATGGTCGATTACTTACGCCAGATCAAAATTTAACAGATGATATTGAAACATTTACATCAACATTAACTCATCTTTTTTCTCATTTAACAAAACCATTTTTTGATGTGGCTGTTATATCATGGTCACTTATTTCAATGGTTCGATTAAGAAAACAAGCACGAGGTCTTAAAGGTAATTACAAAGATAAACTAATCGTGATGTTTCATTTATTTATTTTTTATTTCAATGTTTTCAGAAGTTCCTGCTATGTTAGTTGTAATCATTTCGGTTACATTCATTGCCCTTCGAAAACTATCACCTCATTTTGGTAAACTCGTCTCTGAAGAAGCCAGAAGACGAGGCATACTTCGTTTTGCTCATACAAGAGTTATTGCTAATGCTGAAGAAATAGCCTTTTTCGATGGCCATAAAGTATGTCAGATGATTTTCTGCTCATAAAGAAATAATTTCAAAAAATTAAAAATAGGTTGAGAAAAATTGGATATTAAAATTATACGATCAATTACGTGAACAAACAAGTTTAATTATTAAAAAAAAATTTTGGTTTATTATGCTTGAACAATTTTTAATGAAATATTTTTGGCATGCATGCATGTCTACATGGAAATATTTTCATAAATAATAAATCATTTTTTTTTTAATATTTAGGTGGAATGATATTCATTGCTATACCTTTTCTTACATATGATGGACCACCAGAAACAGATGGTAACTAAGACATATATTATTATTTATTGCTAAACAGTATTTGTTATTATTAGATCCAGTTGGAGATCCACTCGGTATTAGTACACGTACAGAAGCATTTACAGTTAGTAAAAGTCTATTAACGTCCGGTGCTGATGCACTTGAACGTATTATTTCATCATATAAAGAAGTAAGATTAAGTTTATTAGAGAATAATTATAAACGAAAGAGAATATTCTTTTTTTTTTCTATTAATTTAAAGATTGCCGAATTGGCAGGACATACAAATCGAGTTTATACAATGCTTCATGTTTTTGATGAATGTGCTCATGAACATTATCAACGAACTCCAATAACAGTGAGTGAAGGTCAGCATGAACATTCATTAACAAGTGTAAAAAGAAAACTAGCAGCAAATCAACGAGCAGGTTGGTTGAAAATCATTGTGAAAAAGAAAAATCTCGTTTCTCTTTTGTTTTGTTTGTTTTATTAGAAGGTCAAATCATCGAATCGGAAGGAGATATTATCGTCGAAAATGTACCAATCATCACACCAAATGGTGATATCATTGTTGAAAGTCTTTCCTTGAAGGTAAAGCTCTATACTTAACATATTAACAACTACTTCTATCAATATTATTTTTCCAGATCACATCAGGTATGCACGTTCTTATCACTGGACCGAACGGTTGTGGTAAATCATCATTTTTTCGAATTGTTCGTGGTTTATGGCCAATTTATTCTGGTCGTCTTCATCGGCCAGATCCATCAAATTTTTTTCTTATTCCACAACGACCGTATATGTGTCCAGGTACATTACGTGATCAAATTATTTATCCAGATACAATTGATCAAGCATTTGTTGATGATAATAAACTAATGGAAATTCTTAATAATGTTGAATTACAATATATTGTACAACGTGAAGGTGGTTTAAATGCTGAACGTGATTGGAAAGATATTTTATCTGGTGGTGAAAAACAACGTCTTGGTTTAGCACGAATTTTTTATCATCGACCTAAATATGCTCTACTTGATGAATGTACAAGCGCAGTATCTATTGATGTTGAAGGTACAATATATGAACGAGCAAAAGACTTAGGTATATCATTGCTTACCATAACACATCGACCATCTCTTTGGTTAGTAAATTTTGATAATTATTAGAAAAATATTTTCTAAATTTTATGTTTTATATATTAAAGGGCTTATCATACACATTTACTTCAATTTGATGGCGATGGTCGATGGACATTTGAATTATTGAATACAGAAAAACGTTTGACATTGAAAGGTGAGAAAGAACGTCTTGAAGCACAATTAGCTGGTGTTCCACAAATTCAACAACGTTTAAATGAACTATGCCAATTACTTGGTGAGGATACAATGACAATAGAAAATCAACAGTATGACGAGATTAATGATGATTGAAAGTTTTTCTTATTAGTAATATTCAAGAATGGTTTTTCTGCTTTATTGTAATGAATATTTATTTGAGTTAAAGTCAGAACAGTTTTAAAATTACTTTTAATTTGTTGTGTGTGTGTGTCTGTGTGTGTGTGTCAATAACGTTTTGAATGATGTAGATTTCAATAATTTTTCAGATGTATTCTTATTGATTATCATACATGGATGATAAGAATGCATTTAACAAAGTTTATTAATAAATATCTGTGATTTCAAATTTATATTTATTAAAAATAATAATGGAAACTGAACATTAACATCTTTTTTAATTAGTTACAAAACAAATTCATTTGAAGACAATACTCATAGGCACATAAAAAAAAAATCTTTACTAAGGACAAAAATGAAACTACATATGACAAATTCATTTTCGGACAAGATTTTCTAAAATATCAGATTGATTTTATACTTTAAGGTGAACATTTTCATGTTACATTTAATAAGAGAGATCAACTAAGTCTTATTAAAATACATGTAGTTGCATTGAACTCTTTTCGTGTTTGTACATAACAATTCATTTTCTCTTATATTATTCGAAAAGTATCAATGCCATTCATGTCCTGAAATTTTCTTTGTGCATATGGAATTATCTCAAATTTTGAAATTTATGCATACACCAACCGATGTTTGATAATCAAATTGAAATATCTATTTGATTAGTGAGAATATTTAGATTTCTTCATTTTCTTTATTTTATCTATAATGTATTTAGTATTTTTGAATTTTCAATTAACTTGGATAGAGAATTGAAAAACGATCAGACTAGTGTTCTTAATAGAATAGTTGCTTGAGCTTATGAAAACTATGAAAAAATCCTTCATATAAAGGCACAAATTGCTTTTTCATAATATACTTGTAGATACGACACTTACTTTACTATAACGACCTTTACATGTATTGAACTTTATGTATGAATACTCAGGAATCCTCTTCTGATATATAATTGCAACATGTATGCTTTATTTCATCAAATAAAGTGTTTCATCACTTGAATACTTCATTTCATAAGAAATGCAATCAAAACTCGAGAATATAATGAACATCTGATAATTATAACACTATAGGTGTGTACGGATGATAATGACTATTAGAAAATTTGAAAAAAGAATAATTTTTTTCAAGCTATATAATATGATTATTGGACAACGAGTTCATTTTTTTTTTATTAAAAATAAATAATCACACGTCGAACAAAAATGATTCTTGCTTATAGTAACATGAACATAACAAGATAGGAAAATCTTTTATGTCAATGAAGAATCGCTTCAGTAGTAATTTTTATCAATACAATTCCCTTATATTGGCATGCAGAATTTCATAAATTTCCAGCCATCGAGCAGATACGTGCAACAAAAGCTTCGATGTTCATATACGAATGATGTTTTGCGTGAATACGCAAATGTATTACATGGAAGTATTGATAAGTTAATGAGTCTTAGAAAAATTCAAAGCTTCAAAAAACAAGATTATGTTTGCATGAGTGTATCTTCAACAACATTTCTTTACATGTATTATCGTCTTGCATTTATACGCAACTATGGCAAATGTTTTAAATGACTTTCATGATAGTAGAATGATAAACAGTGATTTGAAGAAATATTTCAAAAGTGAAACCAATTTTCTGGAATTTTGTCCATAAATACAAGTGTATTTGTAGCTTTCACATTTGACAAGAAACAATGTAAAAGAAAATGAATGTCGAAAACATATACAAACTAAAAATAATCGACAAGATAAAATAATATAGCGAAAATTGTTAGTGATTAAAATGTGTACATACGTTGCAAATACGAAAAATAAATGTTTGTTTGAATTAAATAGGATATTGGTCTTGTTCTAGTTTTAATTATTAACATTCTTTTTACGCCAGCATATTAAATGCACTACTATCACAGATAAGAAAGTTTAACTTGACATTTCTCAAGTACGCACTAGATCTCTCAATAGATTTATTGTTTCTGAAGAATAATTTCTCATATCATAAGAGTATTCTTTTGCACATGTGTGAAGAGTATTTTTGATCATATTTCAATTTGAAAAGGTGTTAATTTTATTTACAAGCAGACTGCACTATTTTAATGCGTCAATTCATGCATATTAAGTGATAATAATATTACTTCTCATCATTTTTCTTTCTCACTTGTTCAATAAAATTGCCTATCACTTTTTCTTCATTATCAGCTATTTCTACGTTCCTTTTAAATATAATGCACATTCGTATCTGTTTTCAGATTCAATTTGTCGTGCTCACTGTTTTTTCTATTCTTCAGTAAAAATTTTTCCTTACATAGAAACTATTTAAAGTTTCATTCAATAGATAGTAATACGGTAAGTTTTGTAAATGCTTGTGCGAACAGGATTAGAAATATTTAAATTACAAACGATTAATATCGATACGAATGTCTGTCCGTTCGATTGATTACGGATACTATTCATGATTAACTTTACATAGACAAAAATTAATAAAAATATACTAATTATATACGTACTTAACGTATAAATAAACTTTTTAATCTTTTTTTTTATATTTTCTTGCTTGTCATTACCTAATCCTAGTATTTCTCATACCATGCACCGATTTATTTTCTTTATTCTTTGTTTCGCTATTATACATTTAAATTACGCATGCTATATAACCAATTGTCCTATCGGTGGCAAACGAAACTTACAATTTGACAATAATTTACGTAGTCATCAAGTTAGAAAACAATAAAGTTTTTTTTTTCTTGAAAGATTATTATTTTTGGTTTTTCTTAAATTTAGTGTCCGCAATGTGGACTAACTGGTCAATGTTTTGGTCCATCAATTTGTTGTACTAGCTTAGCTTGTCGTATTGGACATCAATCTGATATTCGTCAATGCTCAATGGAAAACCGTCATGTCATACCATGTGAAATTAAGACTCCAATCTGCTCAGCTGTACCAAATGGTCGATGTGCTGCTAATGGAGTATGCTGTGGTACAGGTAAGTAATTTACTTTTCTAAAAAATATTTCGAACAATAGTATATTTATGTTTTAGAATCATGTCAAATGGATAAAAATTGTATAATGGTATCAAATCAGGAAAGTGACAGTTCACGTGAAGAACGACTATCACAACCAGAAATCATACTTTTTGAATGACATTCTTCATATGTCTTTTCCAATCATGATTATCTATCCTTGCTTTTATCTAAATAAAATAATTGACAAAAGAATGAGATTAAGATTTTAAATATTATTCTTCGTCATTTTATGTTCTTTATCATATGATGTTTAAAATAGGGAATGTTAAAGTCAAGAGAAAATAAACACTACTATTTGATTTGATATTCACAAAAAAAATATCGTGTTTAGGCGTTAAAATAACACATTTTTTTGTTGAATACCTAAACAATGGCCTTTAAAAAACCATCAGAGGTCACCAGTTTACAATGTCATGGTACACTACTGCTCGAAGATGATTGGTTCATTTTCTCATTGAACTTCAAATCATGGATACCACGTGCATTGCATTCTTTAACCTTCCCCCATCGTCTTTCTTCTTTTTATTTTTTGGTTAAATCGAACGAGGCAATCGGGAAGGTTGTGTAGGTTATTTCTTTTTTTGTATTTTTTCGTATCCAGATTTTCATGTCTCGTCAATATTCAAACCGTCCATTTATTCCACCTCGTCGTCGTGTATCACTTCAAATGTGTGATTTTGTTTCTTATCCAACATCACAAACTAGTGATACATCATCGAATAGTTCAGCTTGGCAATTAACGGACCCATTATCTTGTATACATCAACAGCCTACATCTTCTGAACCTTCTTCTCATTCAACACAAAATAATGTTGCCTATTTTCAATATCCATCTCATCAACATATACTTGAATCTCCATTACTTGCTTCCAATCAAGAAACAAATAATAATAATAACAATAATAATAATCAAGTTGTTCATCATTTAAATGAATTACATCCATCATATCATTTTCATCATTTGCAATCGAACGAACGAGAACAACCAAGATCTTCATTACCTTTAAGTCTTGTAACGGTAAAACAAAATATTTCGTTGTTTTTTTTTATGATTTATTTTTTAATTCATTTAAACTAGGCTGCAGCAACAACAACTGCTACTGCTCCACATCATCGACATTATCGTTTAGAAAATCCATCTGCTGCTGCATTTACACGACATCCACCATGGTTTGATGATGAATCAGAAGATGATCATGGAACAATACAGCGATCATCTCGTAATAATAATCATACGAAACGACAACGATCATCAGCTGTTAGTACACCTACTTCTCAATCTTCACAATCATATCAACATCCTGAACGAAAACGTTCGAGACATGAAGGAATTAATGATGAAAATGCACGAGCAAATTATCATTCACAAGAGAATGTATTACAGCAACAACAACAACAACAACAACAGAATCGATCATCTAGTCATCATCCTCATCATTATCAACCGTATCCGTAAATAATATTTCTTTAATGTTTTAACATCAACTTAATTTTCTTATTTTATTTTTTATAGAAGTTATCGACATGTACAACCACAACCAGTCCCTTTGCCTCGTACATCATATAACGATAATGTCCCTTCTCTTGCTCGATCATTTGATCAACGTACACAAGCAATACAACGAAATCGAAATGAGCATTCACAAGAAATCAATAATACAAATGTTCATTATGGACCACATCATCATACTGTACAACCACCATTACCAACACAACCTCGTAATATTTACCATTCTTCAAATCATCGATCATCGTTACTAGAATCACCACCTGTTGCTTTACCTCATCGTCAACCAATTCCTCCTCCTCCTCCTCCTCCTCCTCCTCCACCTCGTTCTTATACCCAACAACAAAATCATCAGCAGCAGCATCAACGAAGTGGAATAACAATCGAACCAGTACCGCAACGTGCTCCACTTTTTCATCGAACATCAATGACTGCTCATTTACATCAACGACCTTCGACTTTTCTTACTGATTTGCTTCAGTAAGTAATCTATACATCTTTTCAATACAAAGTAAATTTTTTTAAACATTTTAGTCGTGTTATTGATGCACATGCTGCATCATACAGTGATAATCATGTTCATTATCATCATCATCACCATCATCATCCACCATCGGCATCAATTGATTTAATTGCTTATGCATGGATGTCTCCAGGTCATGATATTTTTTCATTACCAGCTGCATTTAGTATTCAATTTGGTGTAAGTTTTCACAGATTTATGTTTGAGATGATGAATTTTCAAAATTTTTTTCTATATAGGATTTCTTCGATTTGACGATGTCTGATGAAACACCTGTAGTCGGTTTAACTGATAGTGAACTCGAACGATTACCAACAATGATCTTTACAAAATCTTGTACTAATATTGAAGATGATGATAAATGTGCTGTATGTTTGAGTGAATATATAGGTGGTGAAAAACTCAAGCGTCTACGATGCAAACACTTCTTTCATAGTGAATGCATTGATCCATGGCTTAAGGTAACATTTTTGTTCAATCTTTTTGACAATACCTTTCTTTTATGTCTTTTTTAGACATCAACTCGGTGTCCTATTTGTCGAGGTGAACAGACAAGTTGAATAAAAGCTTTTTGTCTTCCTCTTTCTGGATCTTGCATACAAATTTTCTTTATCTTCAGATAACCTTTACCTAGCGTCCTTTAGGCTCCAGATACGCACGAGTTGCATTATTATTGTTGTTCGTTTTTTTCCATTGATTGTCTGCTTGCTTCTTTTTTGAACTGTGAACATATTCTTCTACATATTTTTGTTGTCACGTGTGTATACATATGCAAGACTTTTTTTTTCTAATGTGTGTTTATTGTTGCCTTTTTTTTTGTGCGACAGTCTTTCAAACTTTACAAGAGGAAAAAAACTAATATAACACACCAATAAAGAGAAAAAGTAATGCTGTTTTTTCCTTTTATTTTTTTTTTTTTTTGACTTCTCACTTGTTTTTTTCTTGTCTTACATATGAAAAAGTATCATTAAAAAAATAAATCAACAAGGGAGAAAAAGAAAAAACAAAAATTTAACATAATAGGGAGATGGCGATTATAAATAGTTACACATGATTGCACTGACGAGGGAAGGTCCCCAAGTGTGAGTCTCCGTTTCGAATCGGGTATTTGTTATTTTGTAGAGCTCAATGAGTACAGTACCCGCGTATAAAGGATTTCTGCCCATGGTGAACTTTTCAGGAACAACGAGGTTCCATACCTTCTGAAAAATCAGCATAAGACTCTTAACTGAAGGCTTGAATTTTAATATTGTAAGGACAAAACATAGTGTTGTTCAGGCCAATCGGTGGTTATCAATGATGCTCTT